ATTCAAAACTGCAAGCAAAACTGTTAGGACTCCCTTTTGAAATTCAACAGTCATTTCACAATCAAATCAAACTAAAGGGAGTAACGTTCCCTGGTTCTGATGTCAATCCACGATCTAACAGTCATCAGATTCAAAGTTCCTAACAGGATTGGACCTTCCAATCACAACACTAGACATTGGGAGTTTCTGTCATGTCATTATTACTAAAGAAGGACTCCTGAGAAGGTAGCTCTAAAAATAGTGGAACAAATTTATGTATTTTCTTTATTTTCAGACATAGAGAATTGTATTGTTTGTCTAAAGGATCAATTTCCAAACCAAGCTCATGATGAGTGCATTCTAAACACACTGAATTTCTTCTCCTTTGAAGAGCCACTGGACATAACTCTGATGTCTCTGGCTCATCTCTTTTCCCTGGTCACAGCTTTGGTGTTTTCAATCTTCATTAAGCAATGGGACACTCCCATTGTCAAAGCCAACAATCACAACCTCGCCTATCTTCTACTTGTCTCCCTCTTTCTCTATTTCCTTTGCTCAGTTCTGTTCATTGGACACCCCAATAAGGTGACATGCCTCCTCCGACAAACAACATTTGGCATCATCTTCTCTATTGCTATTTCGTCCATTTTGGCCAAAACCATCATAGTCATCGTTGCATTTCTAGCCTCAAAGCCAGGAAGCCTATTTCACAAATGGGTGGGCCAAAAGTTGGCCTATTCTATTGCCTGGTTCTGTTCCTTCCTTCAAGCAGGTATTTGTATTGTTTGGCTGAGTACATCTCCCCAATTTCCACATTTGGACATGGAGACTCTCCGTGGAGAAATCGTAGTAGAATGTCATGAAGGCTCCATCACCATGTTTTACTGTATTTTGGACTACTTGGGCTTCTTGGCTCTTCTCAGTTTCACTGTGGCCTTCCTAGCCAGGAAGTTGCCAGACAGTTTTAATGAAGTCAAGTTCATCACTTTCAGCATGTTGGTTTTCTGCAGTGTTTGGCCGACCTTTGTCCCCACCTACCTGAGCACCAAAGGGAAGTACATGGTGGCCGTGGAGATCTTCTCTATCCTGTCTTCCGGTGCTGGCTTACTGGGCTGAAGATACATCCCCAAAATCTATATAATTGTACTGAGGCCTGAACTCAACAATAGAGAGCGTTTAATACATAAGAAATTGAAAAAGGACAGGTTTGAATTTTGATCAACCCAATTAAACTCTTCTATGCATACAACTACATTCATAAATATGAATAAGCAAGTAATCTGAGGAAGCTGTGCGCATGTTTCAAACAAATTCCACTAGTACACACAAGAGCTGTTTTCCAAAGCACTAGAAGACAAGATAAGAAACAATGGATGAAAACTAAACAACCAACCTAGAACGAAGGATAAAATTCCTGAAGTGGGAACAATCAATCAGTGGAACAGCTTGTCTTTAGAAATTGTGGGTGCTCCATCAGTGGAGACTTTTAAGAAGAATTTGGATGGTTGTTCATCTGAAATGGTATAGGGTCAACTGTTTGTGAAGAGGGTTGGATTAGATGACCTCCAAGGCTACTTCCAGCTGTGATGTTGTATGTTCTAAGGTGAATCTTTTAGAAAATAAATTACCAATTTATTTGGTAATAAAGTATGAACAAACTTGACTGAATTTGCTTTTTATCTTATAATTCTTCAGAAGTGGGTCTTTGGGGGAGAGACTATATTAACACTTCAGGCGAGAAATCTTCCATATAATTTAATTAAATTGTTCTATTTTGGATTTCAATGTTTTGCAAACCAATTCTAGTGCTAACAAAAACTGTCTCTACATGTCTCAATATTAAGGTAGACATTAGAAACAACAGACTGTGAACAATTATCAAGATTCATTAAATATTGTTGAGTGATTTTTCCCATTTCTCAAAACCATTGACTAATTGGGTTTTGTAAGCAAAGCTCATAATATACCCAATATCAAACTCTTAATCTCACCCTCAATTCAGGACCCAAAGCTTGTGAGTTGTATTGTTCCATTTGAGCAATTATTTTAATGAATGTCTCTTGTTAGCAGAGCAATTTAAATATACATAAAGAAATATGTCTTTGTCTTGGTGAAATCAAGTATAACCAGATGTAACTCTTGCCTTTTTGTGGTTTTACTGTGTAGGCTAGAACAGTGGTCGGCAACCAGTGAGCCCTGGCCAGCTGGTGGTCTGCAAGAAAATTTTGGTGGTCTGCAGAGAAAGGTCATCCCCAGAGCACCCCTCAAAACAATTAATCCAGGCTGTGCAGGAACACAAGGCTGCGCCACCCACATGGCCCATGGGAACCCACCCTGCCCATTGACTCCTTACCAGGAAAACTTGCCTGCTAAGTTGCTATTTTTTCTTTTTCTGACCATTAGCTCTTCTGCTGTGCCGGGAGATTTAGATTAGTTAGAAAGTAGGAAATCATTTAATTTCTTACTTTCTAGCTAATCTTTAGGTCTTCGGCTCTGCTTTTAAGCAGAGCTGAACCTTCCATAGGACTGAAGTAGTGCAGACTCAGGTAGCCGATGGCAGAAACACAGATCTCTAAGTGAATCTGTGATTCTTTGAGAAACTCAATCTTCCTGCCTGCTTTGCCTGATTCTGAGTAAATGTTGCTCTTTTTTAATTAAAAAAAGTCATTATTTACATACATGGTGTGTTGTGAGTTAATTTTGGGAATTTGTTTGCTAGCAAATTTTATGGGTTTGTTGCAAGCAAATGTTATGTGACAGGCTCAGGTAGCCAATGGCAGAAAGTTAGATCTCTGAATGAATCTATAATTGTGTGAGCAATTCAATCTGCCTGCCTGCTTTGCTTGATTTTGGGTAAAAGTTGCTCTTTTTTATAAAAAAAAATCAATATTTATATAAATATAATATTTACCTACAAGCCATGCCCATCCAGTATTATGACCACCAAGCCACACCCACAAATTAGTCCACATGACCGCAGAACTGGTTGTTAAGAAATTTGAATCCCACCCCTGCCCGTGTGTTTGTGTGTGTGAGAGAGAGAGAGAGAGAGGCGGGGGGGAGAAAGAAAGAGAGGGAGAGGGAAAGATTAGATCAGATCTCTCTCCCCCCCCCCCCCAATGGCTGCAAGCCACTGCCAGACAAAATTCGTACTAGTGGGCCCCAGGATTTAAAATTATGAGTTTGGTTGTCCCTGAGGTCGAAAAGGTTGGTGACCCTAGAAAACAAAGAAATAGAACAGGATGGCAGCACAAATTGGACTCAGGTAAAACAACCAAAGCACTTTGAAGATACGAGTTTATTTTATTTTATTTATATGTATACAAGCAATAATACAATAATACTGCCTTGAGAAGCAGCATGAAAAGTAAGAAATAAAGTTAACAAATAAAATTAATACAAATAAAAATTACAGAATATTCTGGATTCCTAGAATGATCCAAATTATTTTATTTATTTATTATTTTATTTATTTACTCGATTTTTATAGCTTCCCACTCAACCAAGTGACTCTGAGCCAGCTAAAGTAATTGAATAACTAAGGAATTTGCTCAGCAACTTATGAGCAAAAGCAAACTGGGGTTAACATATCTTTGGCCCATTATATTGCAAAGAAAAAACAGAGGAAAAGTTAGATACAGAGGAAATTGTAGCAAGATGTTGAAATCTTTTAGAGCACTGTTTCTCAACCTTGGCAACTTTAAGATAGGAAGACTTCAATCCCCAGGTATCCCAAACTAGCCATGCTGGCTGGGGAATTTTGGGAGTTGAAGTCCATATATCTCAAAGCAACAAAGGTTGAGAAAAAGTGTTTTAGAGACATCCAACCATATGACTTTACTGTTGTTTATTCCTTCCCAGTAGATCAAAATAATGGCCACACTAGCTATAAGATATTGGGAGTAAATAGAAACAATTTGGCTTTCTTGACCACAGATTGAGACATTCCAGATCATGGGAGTGTCTGTATCATAAGGCTGGTGCCAAAAGAGAGAAGGCATATTGCCAAAGTTGCACCAAATGTTATTGTTTAAAGAAGAGCCAAAGTATGCCAATCTATGGGATCTAGTGCAATAGGAAAAAACCTCTGGATAACAGTATTCTAAATTCACCCAGAAGCATATTGGGGGCAGAATACGTTGCACCATCACAATGGTATACATTGAAGGTGCACACTGGCCTAGCTAAAAGTTCAAACAGTTGTAGGTATTTTTGTGGTTATTGTTTTTACAGCACCCATGCATGGAGTGCATGGTGTTAATCCAATTGGAAAGTGATGTAAGGATGATTGACCATGACAGAAACCTCCAAATTCCACTCAACAAATCATCTGCCAAATTATAGACCTCAAGACCAGTTCATCAAAGTCCCAAAGCAAATAGAAAAATTTTCTTGTGGGATCTTACAAACATGTTTACTTCAGCATTTCTACAAGTAAACTTGACAACATCTAGTTACCATAGACTCTACGATGAAGACAATGCTACAGTGGCTCTCAAGATAATTCTGAATGAAATACCAGCAGCAAGCTTTAGAATAGATATAAACTTCCAGTATAATTTTCCTAGCTGAGGTCCTTTCATCTAAACTGGTTGAAGTGTTCCACAGCCATTGCAGAGACTTAAGAGAACTGCTGCCAAATGTTGGGGGCTTCAAGATTTTGCGTCTATTTGCTGTTCACATCACAAATAATATTTTTAGAGTGTTGATCATCAAATGCCTATTGGAGTGGACAGATTCTACCAAATTTCAACAACTGGGGCTACCTACAAGGTCCCACCCATGTAAGATATATGAGGACAAACATCTTGAAGGGAATATATAAAACTATTAAAATTCTGAAAAAAAAACATAAAGATATTGTGGTAGACAAAGTTGGTCTAGTGCTTTCTTACATTATAAGTGAAGAAAGAGCTTAAAAATCAGGTATTTGAATCAATGGCATCTCTGTCCAGTCATACTTTGAGTATCCAGGCATCCAGGCATACAAGAAGTTTAAGATTAGGAACAGATCAATTCCTGAGGTGTGACATCTCAACATATGTAGCAGTTTGTCTCCTGATATCTTTAAATCAAGGCTTCTGGAACACCACTATAGTAGAAGTCAAATGAGCAGGAATGTTGGGGATTATTGTCATATTACCATTTCTAGAATTGGCCATGAAGGTACAACCTCTTAAGTGCACTGTAGATAAAGCAATTGAAATTCCGCAGGAATGGTACCAAGAGGGAGAACTTCTCACTGGTGGATTGATGTCTCATTTCCATTACCTCTTCCCCAAAATTATTTTCAATATACATCCTTCTGAGGAATCGGTTAACATCCCATTGTAAGTTATCACTATTTTACCTGATTTTAATCTAATCCTGCTCTCTTCTTTCCATCTCTGTAAAACACAGAGGTTCTATCAACATATACATGTTACAACATATCAAAATATGATAGGCATATCCTTTACAGCAACTTGATAAATAGACTAGTGCAAACAGCTATCTATTGTGAACTGAAGCCTTTTCCTGCTTAGAGAAAAAAAGCACCAACCCTAATTCACCTTAACATAAAAGGCTCTTTAATATTTTAAATATACCTTTTTCTATTCTCAACCTTTCCTTTGACCATTAGATCTAACAATGCATTGACAGTGGAACAGAAAATAATTTCCAAAACTTTCGGGAGGCATTTTTTAATGTCTGTAATTTTTTTATGTACTTATTAGACTTTTGAGGGCAAAATGTTCAATTTTTACAACATTGAATAGTATTGGATATATTGTGCAGGAATTAATAAGGTGAATGTGGTCTAATTATAGATCAAATGAAAGTTTATAAATGGAAAATTTTAGATGAAAATAATCTCTCCTTTCTAAAGGCAGGAAAAAATTGGGAGTTTTGGGTAGATCTCTTTTGCATGACATCTATTCAGCAATTTCATGAATTTATATCTCCCTTTTGTAAAGACTTCCATTGTTCCTCCAATTGTTCCAAACAGAACCCATGACATTATACTCAACCACGCAGAAGAACTTTGATTTAACTTTTCTGGGTATCGCAGTTTAAGAATTTCTTAAAGCATACAGTTAAACAATCCACTTTATAATGGACATGAATCTTGAATC